CATATTGATAAATGCTGAACTTTGATCCTTTGGAGAAGCAAATTGTAGGCATTTTTAAGCGCAGTGGCATGCTGGTAGGCGACAATAACAGGCACAAAAGCCCATATTACAAAAGCGACATCTCCAACCAAGATAGAGATGATTGAAGCTGAAGAGAGAGATCCTGAGATGATGGCAACAGGACCGAAAAACTGTGAATAATTTGTTTGATGATGCTGGTATTTCAAGTCTGCTACCAAGGCAAAACAATAAAACAATGTGTTCACCAGAAAAATCCATATATTTGCAATGTTTGTTTCAAATATGTTCTTTCTCCCTTGAGCATAAACTCCCAGGATGCCTATAAGCAATGGTATCAGAAATGCGAAGGCCGTATGGTATGGCATCGAGGGAATTAAATTTTGGCCACTGCACAACCATCAAAATATGTTACAATTTGCTTCATATATATTATACAATTTTGGTCATCAACAAGAGATAAATAGTCCCCCTCTATTCTCATAAATCCGCAATTTTTTTTTAAATACATAAACTGTTGTTGTGAGTGAATGCTGAAACGGCATCGTATTGGATTAATGGAACGGTGTCGTTTTGAGACAGCCCCTGGATGATCCTGACCGCTGATTAGAAGGAAAGCCAATGGCTGAGATCAAGCCTCCAGTCAACACTATAAAAGGATTAGGGTTTCCTGTTGTAACAGTAGATCAAACACAAAAAGGGTTGAGAGCAATTTTTGTTTTTCTTAGAAAACTAGGGTTCTTTGTCTTTGGGTCTGATTTTTGTGTAATCTGTGGGTTTCTTGAGTAGTTTGGGTTAATCAATCAAGGGAAGAACTACTGTGTTCTTGTTATAGGGATTTCCAGGTTAGAGGAGTCCTAGGGCAAATTACGGGTTCAGATCAGTAGTGTTCGATCTGGGTTTCTTGAGTGTCATTCTTTGTAATCGTGACTGTAATCGGGTGTTCTTTAATCATAGTGCAGCGAACTCTCTTTCCAGAGTTCAACGTGGATGTAGCTTGCTCAAATCGGGCAAGTGAACCACGGTAAAGATTCTGTGTTTTTGTTTGTGGTTTTCTGGTTTTCTTGTTTGTTTCAGTTTGCATTATAGGTTGATTGCATAACAACTGTTTATTGATATCACCTAAAACTGATCAAAAGTGCGTTTGGTTTATCATTTTGGATAGGATTTTGAGGATAGTATTGGATAATTGAATATAGGAGTATTACGAGATAAAATTTAAAAATTTATAAAAAAACTCCCTAAGTTTGCTAATTTAATAAATACCCCAACATATAAAATGACAAAAATACCTCCACCACCTGTAGCGCCAGATTCAGGCCACCACCGCCGGAATTCGGCCGAAAAATCGCGTTACGACATAGACTGGTCGGATATGTGTCGTAACGCGTCGTTATGGCCTTTTCCAACCAGATCCACCACGGATCTGACCGGAAAATGCCAGATCTATGGCCTGCCGTGGCCGTTGACAGCCGAAAAAGTCCAAAACGACAGCCATCTTTGGCCGTCAGCGACAGCCAAAGATATGACCATCGTTTTCGGTCAACGATGGCCAAGATTTGGCCGTCGTTTTCGGTCAACGATGGCCAAGATTTGGCCGTCGTTCAAGGCCAGATCGGTGAACTTCCGATCATTTATGGCCGGCAGGTAGGCTGTTGTACAGATTCTGGCTAGCACCGACGGTGGTCGCCGGAATCTGGCAAGTATGGGTCACGGGGGTGTTTTTGATAATTTTCAAACTTTTTTTTCAGGGTGAATTTGATGAAATTAATAACCTTATGGGGTCTAAAAGTAATTAAAAAAATAGAATAATATTTCTAGAATAATATGTCAAACATTATTTGGAGAATAGGAGTGAGAATAAGGATAAAAATAATAAGCCAAACATGGCCTCTAGAGATATTATCAGGGTACCTCCCCTAAGGGTTCAGCCAATTATATATGAAAACTCCTCAGTATCTCCCGAGTATTTAAGTTCCCTCAAGGACCTCCCTCCAGCTCCGTTTTCTAAGGCCAAACCATATAATGGATGGGCAAAATAGTCTTTTAACGAATAAAAAATCAACGTAAGTTTTATTATAATAAAAAGACTTTGCAATATCACGTCGCTGCCATGGCGATGGTTTAGGTGGTGATGGATATGAAGGAGAGGAAGACGAATATAACTGAACTTATGAAATAAAATTCAAACTTGAAAAAATTATTAAAATGGATGTTTTTTATTGATTTGGTTAGAGTAAAATCGAAGTTTGGACCTTTGGCTTGTGGTTTTTGGGCCAAATAGCTCACGGCTTGGCCATTGATTTGCGGCTTTCCGCCGGCTATCTAGGCCACCGGTGAGCTACCAGACCACGGTGGCTTATGGGTTTCAATTTTATGTCGCTGCCATGGCCTCACGGCTTGGCCATTGATAAAAATAACGGAGTGGTAGGCGATGGTTGAGGTGGTGATGGATATGAAAGAGCTGTTGAAACAAAATTTGGATATGGCCCAAACAAACAAGAAGGAGAGGAAGAAGAAGATAACAATAGCGATTGAACAGATCCGCAAAGCTACAATTGTCTGGCTCGTTAATTTTGAAGCGAAATGAATAAATGTTATTAAGAAGATGCAAAGCAGATGAAAAATACCAGAAAGAAGTCAAATTCAGCAGCTAAGGACAAGTTCTTTGCTTTAGAGGTGCAGGTCGGTCTTCCAAGGAAGGGATTAATTGAACTATAATGTAAGGATGGATCTAGGTTAAAGAAATAACAGATAACAAAAATAAGAAGTTTACTTGGCACCTTTCACTTTTGGGCAGGCTTTGTGACACTGAGAGTGAGTCCAGAGTATCACTAGTTCCGCCACTCTTCTGCTCTTCCATCTACTCCAGGGCCCTTCACGGATTATTAACTGGAGATGGAGTTTAAGATGGAGATGGAGAATTAATTGGCTGTGTCTGGCTGTCTGCCGGTTTGCTATGTAGAGAGTTGAGGATGCACTAAACAACAAAAAAGTAAGAATTTGAGGCCAGCCTCTTGAGTCTCTGACTTGAGTGGTCTATTTTTTGTTAAGAGAAGGTTCCATTGTTTACGTCATGGTCAGATTCATAAGTGATATCAGGGTTGGCGCCAGAAAAAAGGAATTTGAAGTGAAGTAGTGAACCATGCCACTATTTTATTTGTCTCCATAGACTTTGTCATTCCTCGTACGCCACTTCCTTTAAGAGAAGGTTCCATTGTTTAGGGTGCATTTGTTTTTAGTATTTTTGAGTAGTATTTAAAAATTAACAAAAACACCTTATAAATTTGTTAATTTATTAAACTCCCCTATAATAAAAACATTAAAAATTATAAAAACACTCCCACTCACTCATTAAATACCGATAGCCGGCCACCACAGCTGGAGGGTGGCTGGAGTTATCGTATCGATATATAACTAGTTAGATATGGTCAATTGTGCGTCGAGATGACCTTTTCCAGCCAGATCCACCGTGGATCTGGTAAGAAAAGGTCACATCTACGATTAGATCTGACCATTGATGATTAGATCTGGCCACGTTTGGTTGTCAACAGCGGCCAAAGATATGGCCGTCGTTGACGACTAGCTACAGCCAAGGATTTGGCTGTCAACGGCTAGATCTTTGGCCGTAGATCTGACATTTTCGGTATATCGGCACACTAGCAGTAAGATCCAGTCGGTAGTGCACCATTATACTTGATTCCGATCACCTTCAGACAATAGTGGTGGCTAAAATCTGGCAAATATGGGTGGGTGGGGGTGTTTTTGTCCATTTTTAAACCTTTTTTGGGGGAGCTATTTAGTTAAATTAACAAACTTAAGGGTTTAAAAGAATTGAATAAAATAGAATATGTATTTTCAGAATTATAGGAATAGGATAGTGTAAAAATATTAAAACAAACGGATTGTGTCGTTTGACTAGAGTTTCATAGAACTGAAAAATAAATATAAATATTAAAATCAGTGCTTGATCGAATTATTCTATTTTTAAAATTATATTCTCATTATAAAACTTTTCATAAATAATTGCCTTATCTTGTTGATTAATTGAATATAAGGATTGATTTAGGTTAACACATAACAAAAAGTCAGGACGTTTACATATATAGCAATGTTTATTTTTTAAATGTAGTATTCCATTGAAAGGGAAGACCATTAATGAAAGATTATGTAGAGAAGGATTCAATTAGAATAATTTGTTTTCATGTGACAATTTCTAGCTTGTCATAAATATATATAGGCATGGTTCAATAACCTGGAAATCTAGTGGCTTGGTTTGACTAGAGTTTCATAGAACTAAAAAATAAATATAAATATTAAAATCAGTTCTTGATCCAATAATTATATTTTTAGAATTATATTCTCATTATAAAACTTTTAAAAAATAATTACATTATCTTGTTGACGTGGGATATTCGAAGATTAATTGAACTATAATATCTAGGATTACGATTTTCCATAGGCTGGTTGTTGCAATTTTAGGATTACGATTTTCCGTGACCTGTTTGTTGCAATTTAGTATTAAGGTCAACCTTCGTAATCAAATCATCAACGGTTGTACCTTAAGTAAGTAGTTGACAACATGTATCGCCTCCGTCTACGACTTTTCTTAGTAAATTGCTCATATAATATATTCTGTTACCTATTCATGCACCGTATCTCACGGAGATGTTGCAGAAATTTATTCGGTAATTAGTTGCAAGTTTAAGGGCACATGTGGCATTTCAACTGAAAATACAACATAGGCAAGGGCGTTACAGACATTTGCATAATTTTCATTTCCACTCTTGTCACTTTCCGTCGGTGTATTTAGTGATCAGTTGACTAATTATTACTGGAGAAAACATAAATAAAATTCAATCACTGAAAGACATAGAAAAAGAGAGATAAAGTAGATATCATCATTGATTGATCAGAGATTATATTTGTCTCATGATACGGGAGTAAGTAAGTTCATTTAAGCTGTACAATATTTTGTAGATTAGAGTAAGGTAACCAATTAGTAAAGAGAGTTGTAGGTAAAGCAGGTAGCAACAATGGAGGAGATACATATGAAGAGTGAAGGAATTAAGGTTACATTCAACAGCCTACTCTCACCCAAGTAACCAGATAGTGTTATTGTTCCATCTGCAATTACTCGAGCCAGGGTTCCGGCTTCTGTTGAAAGTAGTCCACCATTGTAGGTTCCACGTGAAAGCCTCGATGACATGACCCGAGATAGAAGCGATAAATTCACACCTGAATTTGGTCAACCAAATGGGATCATACAATCATACAAGTGTGTTGAACTTTTAACTATTATTGATAGGTCCTTACCTTCAAGGACTTCAGCGGCCACAAAGGTAATAAGTGCTGAGCCAACATATTGAGGCACTGAATAAGGGACCAATATCTGGAAGCTCAGGAGTATACCTATGCACACTATAATTTCAGATGCTAGAAGAACTTGCCTGCGATCAGTGATTTTGATATGAGAAAAAACATATTCATAGTAACTAGAGGAGCAACTCATAAATAAGGAAAAAACAAATCAGGTGCCTGTCCTGATCACAGCTAAATATTTACCTTTCTTCAAACATATTGCTGATGTAGTTCCCAACAATGATGTTTACTGGAAGCACTGTTAGCCCAAGGCTTGCAAGAAAAATTGCCACGCTGCTGGTTGACCATATAAAATAGTATTCAGTGATGACACTTGATTCAGCAAGCAGAATCTCCATCGCATACTTGAGCATAAAATAAACAAAGAGTTGAACCTACAGTAAAGAAGCATGATAAGAGGTCATGTTTATTTAGTGCATACAAAGTGACAGATAGAAGCACTTCTAATAATCAGCAAAGCTTCAATTTACAATAAGATCAGCAACGTTTAATGTAGCTTAGGCTCCTTCTTACCTTCACAGATGGTGTAAGTAACCGATATGCCGACACAATTGAAGTGACAGGTTTGGGAATTTCCTCAGAATCTTCATCATCATCATCATCGAGTTCTTGATTTTCATGCTCATCTTTCTGTTTTGCTTTAGTGTTCAAAAGCAAAGGCTGGGTAATACCATGTTCTACAGAATAACGTACCAATAGCCCTACAAGAAGCAAGACACAATCAATTACAAAAAACCACAACATGAAAAATTGACATTTTTTTTTAGTTAACATGAATGATAACCTTAAAAAAATGACTGAAAAGATGAAGTATTAGCAATGTACTCTATCCAGCCTAGCCCAACTCATTGTAAAGATCCAAGTTCATGCCTTGGAAATGGTAAAGTCATAGCTACGTCTTATATGGGTAATACTATCAGCCACCACACTGATGTTGACTAGAAGTAGGACTAAGACTGATAGCAGAATAAGGAAGATGAAACAATAAAGTTTCAATAACAAACGTGTGTGTGTGTGTGTATGAATTTTATCTTGATAATTTAGATTGTTTGTTAAGAGGTAACAAAATCCTTACCTACACAGACACAAGAGACAGAATGTTATGAACTGAATCACAAAGAAGCGGAAAACGAAAGTATAGTGCAAAATGCAGAGCCAAAGTGCTCAATCTTGTTGACGAACCAGCATTACCTTCCTGCGGTACGGAATTCTCTTTGGTCTCCAGGGGTGGCTCTCTAAAGGAAATCCACAACCACAATAAATAGACAAGCCATGAAAGAGCCATGACCCAACCAGGCAAAGTGTCCTCATTAAATGTGAATTTGTAAACCTTAAAATTAGTTTGAAATAAGCAAGCAAGAGCAGGGCCACAAGCCATTCCTAGTGCACTGGCACTGACAAAGCCTGCAGAAGCCTGCATTCGCAACTTAAGTGGAACACAGTCACTGATATAGCGCCTGTTGACAGCTCTTGCAGAACCTAACCTGGAGTATGATAACAGTAATTGGTGAATAACACAGGTAAACCGGCTAAGATAAATAAGTTCTAAAGTGGTCATGCATCACTTACCCACAAAATAGTCGACCAATCAGAAGAACTGCTATTGAATCAAGATCATAAGCCAGTGCATACAAGGTGTTTCCAATGAGCAGAACGATGCTACTGAAAATAAGGGGTTTCAAGTATGATCTATTTGACCATGCACTAAAATAAACGGAAGAAAACACTTGCGCCACAGCCATTGACCCAATTATGACACCACAAAGAGTCGCTGCAGCTCCAAGGCTGAGAGATTAGTTATCTGCAGTAGGGACAATAATATATGTGTTGACCATATATAGAAATGTGTTCACCAAGTTCAGGAGAAGCGACATAAAATGATATCTCTGCTCAACGACATGGTCTTCAGAAGGACTACGTAATTCATCTTGCACAATAAAAGCATGCTTTCCCAAAAACTCAAGGAAATTTGTTGAGTTTGATAACCTGTTCACAGCTGCATTAATAGAATCAACTACAGGATCCTGCAAAATTTTGACAGAGCACATTATTCATTCAATATACAACAAACTTACAAAGTACATTTTGAAACAATCGAAAGCACAGGTTATTGATGTTATAAAAAGCAGTAAATAGATACATTAAGACAGGCATATCTATGTTCAATATTAACGTCATAAAAAAATCATGTCCTATAACTAAGCATAACTTAAACTGCGTAATTTGCGTCCAAAACACACAAGAAGTTCTGAATAGGATTCCTTCATACTCAAGTTCAGGCAACGAAACTTCAAGTCTGAAATTCGCTCTCACAAATGCTAAAGTCAACTATAAAGTTTTATAGCTTTTAATTGTTAATCTGCAGCATAATTTGAAATTTAGTAATTACTGCAACAGTAGCAGAATATGCAAAGCAATCCTACGGCAGATTGCCAAAGAGAAACTAAGTTCTCAATCAAGATAACAAGCTACGTGAAACAACAAATGGAAAAAAATTAGTATATTCTAAATCCACTAAGTTATTTACCCATAATAAAACAAGATTCACAACTTGACTTAATTTTTTCTTACAATAGATTATTGTCCTAAGTTCAACAATTTATGTTTCAATTCTGTTTGCTGACAAAATTATAGACCAGAAAAATCATTGTGTTGAACCAATTTTTAATTTACTTTAATCAAACAACAAGAGGATCAAAAGTGCAATCAATTTTACTTTTGAACAAATGAGGCCTTGCTATAATTCCATGCTTGTTTTGATCCTATTTATTTTGTGTGAAAAATAAATACATACTCAGTGACTGCTAAAACATCCCCTGTAATTTTTTGTTCTGTTTCTACCAATTAAAAGGTTTGTACTCACTTGAAACTTTTAAATATTTCTTAGAAAAAGAATGCATTTGAATTTTTACAATAACTCCATAATGTTCAAAAAGAGAAAGAGAACAATAACATAGCATAATATCAATGGGTGCAAGAGAAAACCGGATGGGATAAAGCAGGCTGATCATATATTGATATGTAGTTCCCAGGGTGGTCTTGAAGCTCCACAAGATTGCGGGATATTGCTCCAACAACCGCCCCAATGCCCTGCATATATAATTAACAGATTCATGTTATGCATAACTATATGCATACCAAGTGTGAAAAGAAAAAATTTAAGATGATATAAATAATTAAACACTGAAAAATGATTGGGAGGAAGAATTTTAAATAAAAATTTGGATACACTACCACATGCTTAAACACTTGTCGTAGCTGGGAATAAGGATGATTAGCTCGGGTCTTGACATAGTAATCAGTAAATCTGTAGCCAAAGCGCTTATCAAACTTCTTCAAAATCTTACGCAAACCAATAGCATTCATCTCAACAAAAAAAAGAAGCCTTAAAAGATCGTGTCCAACTGCTCTATAGGATTCTTGTAATTCAGAAAGTCTTGATGCATCTTGATGCTCTGTTAGGGCATCATGCTGTTCTCCAATAGCTGATAACCTACTAGCTAGTGCTCCTTGTTGTTCCAAGAGAAACAAGACAATCTTTTCAATCTGAACATTTGAAAGAACCAAGTGGATATAACTTTTATTTCTTAATCATTTAACATGAACTACCTTTCTTGACTAGGATTTAAGCATGCAGCTAAACTTTACACTTACTTGAGCATCAAGCATTCTTGCGAAATCCTTAAGAACATGAAGGCGATTTTCATTTCCGACTTGAATTTGTTGCCTGTATCGGTTCACTTTCTTCTTCAACAATTTATAATTGATATAGTATCTGAAAAGAAGAGCATGCAAAAAAAAAAGAGAAATTTATCATTAGAGCCAGAACACAATGCATAAGTTTCACTTTGAAATAGCATAAGTAACTACTGAAAGTTATATATTCTACATACCCTTGCCATTCTTGAATTTGTGTTTCTTTCAACTTCTTCCCAAAACCAACCATCTTTCAGGAAAAAAAATTGATACCCTAAAACTAAAATTGTTAAACACAACAAAGAACACAATATTACAAGACTCCAGTGCAAAAACAAATATTCAGGTACAAAATTAGAAACCCTAAACTTGAGCTGAGAAGGGAAAAGAAACCCAAAAACGGAAAGGAAGAAAATCCGAGAAAAAAAAAAAACTAAGGAATGAAAATTAAACAGGAGTTTTTAGTTATCACTAGAATCTTGAATAATTAACAAGATTAACCCTTTTCTTAAATATGTTGTTAACACAAAACAGTTGATATGCATAAGAGAAGATAGTTTGATGAATCTTGAACTTGAACCCAGAGAATTACAGAAGGATGTGAGTGAAGAGAGGCGTGGCCATTAATTAATTAGCGCGAAATTTTGTATTCTAGTTAATAATTTTCTATTTATGAGAACGAGTATATAGCTCATTTGATTGTGTGACCCCACTAACGTTAACCGACAAATCCTACTCCTTTTTTACTTTTTCTTTTAAATATCTATATTTTATATATAAATAATTATCTGAATAAAATCTTATTTTTTATTCTTATTTCTCAGAAGTCAATAATTTAACGTAAAATTGAATCCAAAATCTTCAAAATAATTTTTAAATTGGAATGGGAATTACTTAATTATCTCTTTATATCCTGTACGATCCAATGAGCTTCATTGAACTTGAAGCTCATCAACTTCAAAGTGGGCGCAGAAAAGCTGCAAGGCTTCTGGGAAATAAAACCATGTGTGTTTCAATGAAATTATTTTTGAAGAGCTCTTGGGAATATATTGTGGAAAACGTTTCTTGTATTTTATGCCAAATGAAAAATATGACTGATTTTATGATCACTTTTAGATCAAAACTAGCTAGTATTTTGACAAGAAACTGATTTTGTGCTCATAATATTACTCCTATTGTGATCTTGTAAAAAATAAATAACATAAACATAAAATTTGTCCACCATTAGTTTAGAAAGCTCAGACTTATGGTTATGGTGCTGAATAATTTGCAAAAATTTCTAACCAAACTTAGTATTCTCCAAATATTAACTCTGTTTGAAACTTTGTAGTGAAATTATGAAACTTGAGAAGTTTAAAACTGCAGTTTGCAGTGTAAAGAAATACGAAAAACTTTCTTAAAGTTGCTCTTTATATGATAAGCTGCATTAACTAGATAGATAAGATAGCTTTGGTTTGGCAACCTGGACCAATTCAAATATAAAGGTTTTATTTGATTATTAAAATAAAAAGCCAAGTCGGTAGTAATTACAACTCAAGTGATAAGAGCAAAATATATATTCATGCACATGCAGGTGGAAGTTGACTTACAGTCGTAGTTCTCTGTAGTGAAGAATTGCAGATTATGAAGGCTTCAAATGGGACCAAACTGCTTTTGAAAGGAAGCTTGAAAGCCTGTAGCTAGTTCTACTTTAAAAAGCAGAAATTTGAACCAGAAATATCATAAATAATAGCAAGTTGGGAAGAAACTAAAAGAGAAGAAGATGATGAGATATGGATTAACATAAATGGGTGTGTTCTTACTGCAAGCTCCATATTATACAGTAATTGCTGGTTCAACAGTTAAAAAAAAAAGAATCTTTTGCTACTTTGCTATGCTACCACTACCCAACAGGCCAACACTACCAAAAACACGTGTCGATCATTTACCCATTCGGCTGTTTCAGATAATGAAAGGCCATAAAGAAAAATACCCAATAAATGTTTAATGCTTTTAAACTACTGTCATCTTGTGATTTAAATCTCTAGAAAGAGCTTTATTACTCTGTTACTTTAATCTTTCACTGTTGACGTTGTATATAATATAACTAATGATTGATCGTATATTCTCAAGCATCAAAATAGAATAATAATGTTTGCATTTAACATCAAGTAGTTTTCATAATGGCCAATATGTGTTAATTAATTTAGTGGGTATGCTGCAGCTGGCAAACCTATTATTTATAAAAGAAACTGTGATGTTCTATCCAAGAAAAAGGGAATGGAAGTATTGTCATAACATAATATTGCAGGTTAAATTTTTTTGCAGAATACATGGTGGTGGCTTAATTAGCAAGAGACAGAAAACACTAATTACAAAGATGGTAGAGATTCACACCGAACTGTCAAGTGCTTTTGTGGGAAGAAGATTTAGTATTGAATATTCCACTTGAACTTGATCTTATCCAATTCTTAGTGAATACTGAACATGCATCTCCTGGTCCTGGGATACAGTGGCTCAACGGCTAGCAGCACCAAAAGATTCTGTGCCAGAATACATGTGAGTGCGGCTAGATGATTTTGATGGAGGCCCAAATCTTGTGGTCACAGTTGCATAATCTTACCATCTTTTGTTTTTGCTTTTCTGTAGAAGACAAAAGAAATAACAGTAGAAATCAGAAGCATCTTTTGTGGAGGAGGAGGAGGACAACAATATTATCAAATTAACTAATAACTATTATTATTGCAAAGATAAAAGGAAAAGGGTCATTGGTGCCTATAAATCTATCATGGAAGTATTGACACAACTAAGAAAAAGCAACCACTCTTACTGGAGGTTTCGGATCATCAGATCGACCACAAGATATACCGATGTTGATAGAATTCAATGTAAATTTTGTTGCTTAAACCTAAAGAAAATCCAACTTCTTCGGTGGGGAATTAATGACTTGAAGTTGAAGTGCAGGCTAACAGGCCAGATGAGATCTGTGGTTTTGTAACCTTATGATGGGGAGGACATACTTAGGCCACTGTAGCCCAAGACAAGCCCGCCCAGTAAATATCGTTTTTCGAATTTGAGTGGAAAAATAAAGCAAACGACATATTCCCACTCGAGGTTAAGCGAAATGGCAAATTGTTATCCCTGGTTTCAATTATTCAAGATTCTCACCTTTAAATTACACTCTAGACTAATCAATAAATCCTTATGCCTTCAGTCAGTGCCTTCATACGATTCCTCATAAACAAAAATTCTTAGTTGGATTTGTAGTTTGGATCATAAGGAAACCCTGTATTATGTTGGAAATATAAGTGGTAGCATACATACAATTTCATACAACAATCATTAGTGATAAGAATAATAAACAAATTATAGAACAAGAACAAGAACAACTGTTCTAGCAAATGTTGGAGTTGTCGACTACTTCAGCATTAATGGGTAACGGAGATGCACTCGGAGGTCCCGCTGTAGGATTCCTTTTAAGTTATTAATTCCTTTTTGGGTTGGGTTTAGGAATAGGAATTCTTGTAAAACTATGTTTAATCTCTTAAACCTAGTATATAAACATACTTTTCTCTTGTTATGTGTGTGAGAACAATTCATTCATTGTAAACGAGAGAGGTGAGGCATATTGAAATAATATTGACTCAGCTGGACGTAGCCCACATTGGGTGAACCAGGGTAAATCGCGCGTATTGCTTTCTTTGTTTACTGTTTGTTTTGTTTAACTATTATTATTTTGTTCCTGTTGCTTCTCTATTTCGTTCAGCAAAGAGGAACACAAATTCTTGGAAGAGGGACGAACCGTTTCAGTTGAATACGAAAACGCTTGACCCACAAAGTTAACATAATGACTTCCTTAATTTTTCCAACCTTGTTTCCTCCTAAACAAACATATTAGCCAATTCGTTAACATTCCACTTATCCTTAATAGTGTTATAACTAATTTGAAAAGGCCTACACTTAGGAGAAAATGAGTTTAGAACGAACTACACCAAAATGAGTTATCCTCCATCATCCTCAAGGTCTTTAACCTTGCTGCAACAGTAGTCATCTTGATGGTATATATGTTCTTGCATCCTTCTTGACCTATCAAACTTTATTGTTGTTGGTGTGCCTTAAAATACCAGCAAGTGTTTGTCAGTAGAACGAAAACGTTCTTCCACAAACTCAAGGTATCCTTTGCTCTTTTTTTTTGTGGAATAGTGGTGTTTGTTGTTGGCAATAGTCTTTCGAAAAACACAAGGCTTAGTCTGTTAGACCATTTCAATGCTTTATGGTATAACATCTTTTCCTAACTGCTAAATCTGTAATAGCAGGAAATAGTCAACCCCTAAATACCTAAATGGAACTTGACTTGTTCACACATTCAGAGAAATTTAACCCTTATATATTTGGAATAAATGAACCAGAGTACACCTTGCAATTCACTGAACCCGGGTGGGAACATGTCGTTTACTTGGAAAAATAAGCCAATTTCTATGATCTTGATTGAATTAATGTAATTTTGAACTGAGAGTTGTTGAAAAAAGTCAAAAGAATCCTCATTTCATCTGCATCTACGGATTGAAGAATCAACCCCATTAATTAAACAAATCACATTACCACACTTTTACACACTCTAATAACCCGACAACGACGCAGCATCCACATATCTTAGAACACTAATCATTTATTAAATAAATATGTGCAACAGTCAGGGATAAAACATCTACTTGAGATAACATTAAATGTTTTCCATCAGAATTATGCGATATAGCACCAAGAAAAACTAGCCCTTCCCCATGTGGTCAAGTAATTAAGAGGATTTCACTAGTTTATTGTTTCTATTTGAGGACCCAAATTGGAGGTTCATATTTAATAACATCTGAAGCTGAAGAACCACGTTCAAACAAACCGGAAAGCTCTTCTTTATTTCTTTTTGACCACCATAAATTGAACAAATATATCATGATGCATGTAACATTTATCATATTCCAAAATGTTCTAACGTCAAACAAACTAAAATTTACGTCATTCTATATTATATGCAAGCCAATTAGCAAAAGGCATATGGATAGGATCTCATCACCTACCATATCCTCTACAACCTAATAATTCATCAGGAATGCCATATCCGTACTATATGCTGATAATATGCATAATAACCGAAACGTGTATGGTGTTTCAATTTTTATATATATAATATTGAAAAATATCAATCTCCAGTTTTATTGATTTTGCGTGCAACCTTGGCAAACGAAGAGGTACACTTGGTATAAATTAGGTTATTCTTGTTGAGTATGTCAAGTTTTATGCATGACTATATCTGTACCGGTTTCTATTATAGAATCGGTTAGTCAATACGACAATTAATCAACATT